GATGAGAACAGGGTCGCTCCGATGACACAGTGCTTCGGCCGCTGTCTGAGGGCCCTACAGCACCTTGGCACTTGGGGCTTTGGGTATCGTACACAGTCCCCACTCCTGGGCCTGCTTCACTGACGTGCAGGGAGAGGTTTTGTGACGTACCCTAGCATCAACACCACTGGATTTAAAATAGAATGTGTAGAGGGGTAGGGCAGCTTCAAGCCTCAGTTAAGAGTTTGCAGTGAGGGACTTCAGATGTGAGGAGGCACCAGACCTCGCGTGTCTTCTGTGGGGTTCTTCCCTTCCCCCTACATCCCTCCACACCCTCTGACTGACACACACAGATGCCTTCTGGGGGCTGGGAGCCCCAGGCTCTCCAAGGGAAGGGACCCAGTTGTCTGTTTCAGGAAGCTAGAGGCTGCCTCGTCCCCGTCGACTCCGTTAGATGCCCTGTGGGCCTCATCCCAGCGGGCCTTGGGTCTCCTAGCTGTCCCTGACTTATGATTGCTTTTCCCAGCCTGTTTTCTTGACTCGATGGCCACCCTGGGCCTGGCCGCATACGGCTACGGAATCCGCTACGAATTTGGGATTTTCAACCAGAAGATCGTCAACGGCTGGCAGGTGGGTGAGATGGGATTCTTCCCTGGTTTCCAGCTCTCGTCCACACGAGAAAATGAACAGCAGTGCTCCCAGTTTAACTTCTCGGGGAAGTCTGGCCATAGTGCCCTGGGTGGGTGCATGTGGAAGCCGTGGGAAGCCGTGTCACCTTTCCGAACACTCAACCGAGTACTCGCTCTAGTGACCTCTCACCTCCGAGTCAGCACCACTTACGTAAGGAAAGTGCCTCAACATAACCTACAGGAGTTGCCTATTTAATTTGAAGAAAAAAGACTTCATACAATTTTAATTTTAGTTAACTTCTGAGTTCTTCATCCTCTGACACACTAGATTAATTTATGCCTTGGCTTACAAGCAGTGTAAATCCCAGAGGCTGGTGGTAGAAGCAGCCCACAGAGGCTTCCTACTCACGGGGTGGTTTGAGTCTGTGGGGCCACTTTGAATTCTTTTAGGGGAATGGTTTTCACCTGTTGGGTCGTCGGGAAAGTCACGGTGCATTTTTGCATAGAATATCGTGATTTTCCCAATGACCTAATATTTCCTGATCTTGGATGCCACGGGCTACAGATTTGGAAGACAGGCCGCTTCAGGAAGGCCAGGAAAGCACGGGCCACAAGTAGTGCATTGTGGGTCCCCACTGCCAGCCTCCCTGGTGGCGGCTCGGGCCTCATACCTGTGGATTTGCTGTGTTGTTTTCCAAAGCCATGGCCTCGGGGCCCGCAGGTGGCACGGTAGATAAGGTGCTGGACTAGCACATGGCTGATCACAGTTGGAGTCCTGGACCCAGTGAGTAGAGATTCATGCTAGGCACATGTGTGTACATGCCCAAAATCCCAGAAGGAGAATGGAAGAGAAGGGATTGTGGCATGGCCACCCCGTCACTCCCTGGGAATAATTTCTCGCTTTCCCTCTCTCTGTTTCTCTCTGGCAAGTACATGTTGCCCTATGGCAAAAACCTTGTAAAAAAAGTGACCCTTAGTGATTCTCTTTATTTTTTTTTTATTTCATTTATTTATTTTTACATTTTTTCCACAAACATTTACTTTACATAGCAAAAAAATTTAGCTCATACTCCATAATTCTTGACAGTGATTCTCTTTAAATAACAACTTTATTGAGATATAAAGTGGTTTAGAGTATATTCAGACTTGGGTCGCTGTCACCAGTGTCCCTCTCTAGCAGTGTCATGACCCCACAGAGAAACCTCCACCCATTGCGGTCACACCCCAGTCCCTGGTGGCCGCTCACGTCCCTCTGTCTTTGCCGCCCTGCCTGTTCGAGGCATTTCCTGTAAATGCAGCCAGATGGTGTGTGGTCGCTTGTGTTGGTCTCTCCTGAGCGCAATGTTCTCAGGGTCCTTCATGTGGTAGTATGTAAGTTTGTCGATGCTTTTGCTGCCAGATTCAGGTGCTTCTCAGTGTCTTTATTTTTTTGAATCATGGGAGCTTGTTACCTCTGTACTCTAAAATGTTCATTTCTAAACCCGTGGGCTGGATGGGAACTGGGATCTTCTCCTGTAAACAGGCTGTAGCTTTGTTTCAGTGCTGCACGCTGTGTGATAGGAGCAGTGTGGTCTGGCCAGGCCGAGGACAGGTGGGGACCGTCCCTCCGCTGTCCCCCCTGCCTTTGAGAACGCCTTCTCCGCTGGTCTGTCTCAGGTAGAAGAGGCCGACGACTGGCTGCGCTACGGCAACCCGTGGGAGAAGGCCCGGCCGGAGTACATGCTGCCCGTGCACTTCTACGGCAGGGTGCAGCACACCCCCGAGGGCGCCAAGTGGCTGGACACACAGGTACCAGGCTGCGGGCGTGCTGAGTGGAGGTGGAGGGGTGCCCCGCATTAGTCCGTACCTGGACTTCTCTCTGGGGGTGGGGCTTGCTGCCCCTTTCAGGACATTGCTCCAGGTAGCAGCTGGGGAGCCTCCCTCCTGTCTGTCCAGTCTCATTATGATGAGAACGAGGCAGCAGTGGAAGTCACCCTGGCAGAGAGGAAGCGGGTGTTGAGCCCCCTGTGAGCCTCAGGGAGCTGTGGGGGAGACCAGCAGCAGGGCCCCTCCAGCCACCAGATGACTCACCATGGCTTCAGTGGCAGGAGGAGAGCATTCTTGGGGGTTCCCGCTAGAATCAGGGCATTGACCCGAGTGCACTGGACAAGCCCCCGTGCTACACGCTCTGCTTCCATACGGCCCCCACTTTCAGGAAACTGAGCCTTCAGGGCCTTGGTTTGTGCGATACCTGGGCCGGTGTTCCAGAACAGGCCCTGACAGGACCAGGCTGAGACCCCAGGGCACCTGTGGTGCCAGTGCAGGGGTGCAGGAGCACAGGGAGGCCCGGTCCAGGCTTGGGCAGAGGGAGTGCAAGTTGTGGCGTCCTGGGGCCGAGCTGCCAGCCGAGGGGCTGCACGGCTGATGTGAGGTTAGCAAGGTGAGGCCAAGGGAGGGAGCCCGGAGCCCAGGGCAACACAGTGCAGGGCAATCCTGATCTTCTCAGATGAAGTTTTAAGTAGAGTAATGGGGCCACACCTGGCTGGGGCTGGGTGATGGAGGCCAGGATCACTATGAAAAGTCGTACTGCACCCTAGAAAGCAGAGAGGCTTGATGTTCCAGCCTGACCTGCTTGTAGATGAGTGTCAGTGCAGGTTGGGATGTGGGCCCTCCCGGTGGGCTCGGCAAGGCCCTGCCCATGACACTGGGAGACTTTTGCCTGAGCAAAGCCTCGAGAGCCCGGTGAGGGAGCCAAGAGGGGACGTGGTACTGGGGTTAATCCTGGCATCCAGTACACAGTCCTTTAAGGCTGTCAGAGCTAGGTGACCCTGCAAGGACACCCGGTTGTGCTGTGTGAGTCACGTAAGCCTACCTGAGCGTACACGCGCCCCAGTCTGAGGACACAGAGCATGTCAGGTCTGTGCCTCTTCAGTGCCTGGCAGCAGGGAGCTGATGCCTTCGGCTGGACAGGAACATGGTGGGCGGGAGGGTGCCAGGCCGGGGTGGAGAGGGCACACTGGGTGTGTTGGGCCGGTTTGGATACATGGAGGGGTACACCTGTGGCACCGGCGGAGGAGTTCTGCACAGACTGGAGAAGTGCGAGGAGAAAGAGAAGCCATTGCTGGGAGGGGGCAGCCGGGATTGCAGTCTAGCCGCAAGTGAAGGCGAAGAGGGAGGGTGGGCAGGTGAGCGCAGCGGCACTTCAGGGAGCTAGTGAGGCTTCTTTGGTGGATGCCAGTGTTGAAGAAGGTAAAGCAAGAAGAGAAACATGGCTGGGCATGTGGTCAGGATATGGCTGTATGCCGTCACGGGTGGTCCTCGCACTGGGCGGGTGCGCCTGTGGACTGCGTGCCTAGCAGGGCAGGTGAGAGGCGAGTAGGTGGTCTGGGTGCATGCAGGGAGGCGGGACCTGCAGCCTCCAGGGGACAGGGGTGCGCAGAGGGCGGGGCTCCTGCTGACCGGGCCTGAGCAGTCCTCCTCCGCGGTCAGGTGGTGCTCGCCATGCCCTACGACACCCCAGTGCCTGGCTACAAGAACAACACTGTCAACACCATGAGGCTCTGGTCCGCCAAGGCGCCCAACGACTTCAAGCTGCAGGACTGTACGTCTCCTCTGTGGCGGGTCCCTTCATGCTCGCGTGTCCATTTGGACGACTGCTCCCACACATGCGCTCACACCCGCAGCCCCCCCCAACTCTGCACTCCCTGCTGTGGAAGCGGGCGCGGCTCCCCCTGCTGTGAAGAGTGAGGCCAGTGCGCTTGGACCTCACGCAGTGTCCTCGTGCCCAGGACTGACCCAGAGGCAGGGAGGACAAGATTCTGGCCAGGGCAGCTGGGGTCATGTTCGTTTGAGCCACACTCCCCAAGAAAGGGCAAGAGGGCTGGGGTCATGCACTGGGTGGCGGGCGTAGGGGAGGAACAGCGTGGTGGCTCAGGGGCCTAGGGGCTCACCCTAGTGGGCAGCCGTCATCAGCTTATGCCTAATGAGAGCACTCGGGACCTTGGCGGGCACGTGGCTGACTGGTGCATCTCTGTCCTAGTCAACGTGGGCGACTACATCGAAGCTGTCCTGGACAGAAACTTGGCTGAGAACATCTCCAGGGTCCTGTATCCAAACGACAATGTGAGCAGCGACGTGGTCACCCCTCGTGAGCCCATGCCCCATTCAGGTGGACAAAGTGGGTGGGGGCTGGACTCCACCTGGACGTGCCGTGGCCTGGCTTCAGCACAATGAGGCGAGCCTGTACATGTGACCACTCAGCAGGCGTCCTGTCCTGTGTGTGCATGGGGTGGCCACCCATGGGCAGAAAAGGCAGGCGTGGCCGTCCTTGATACAACCTGGGGGCACACTGGCCTCTCGGATCTCTCTGGATGCACTGCCTCCTCTCCTTGGCCTGCACTCTGTCCCGTAACCACACAGCAGCTCCTGGGTGGGCTGGCTGGTGGCCCACTTTTCACGGAGTGCTGTGGGTGTAGACGGCTGGGAGCTGGCAGACCTCGGGTCTCCCAGCAGCGGCTCTGGTGTCCAACTCTGCTTCCTGAGAAGCGGAGGATCTGCCTGCTCATCCTGAGGGACACAGCCCTGTCCTGTCTGCCGTGCTGCCTCTAGACCTGGGGAGGGTTTTAGCACAGCCGTCACATGCTGGGTGACAGCCGTAGCCGTGTTCTCTATGCCACCTGGGTCTAGTGGCTGGCGGCTTTTGTAACTCTGTTGCTGCCAAACGAAAAGTCCCTGGAGTTGACCTCTTGCAGTGGGTGGAGCCTTTTTAAAGCCACCTTTCATGTTACCGAGAGTCGTGTGCCCACGGTAGCGAAGGCAGGGGGCCCAGTGGCTCATGGCCTCCCCAGACTAGGCAGATGCTGAGCCTCCCGAGCACTGTGATCTCTCACCGCTGCTGGCCGGAGCGTGTGTTATGGCTTCTGTCCCATTGGTGCTGCAGCCATTTGCAGGTCACCCTCATCCTTTCTCCCTATCTGAGGGTGCACAGGCCTTCACCACATGCAATCTTCTGCCTGTGACCTTCATCTGAGTCTCCTGACCAGACCTCCTGTGGGATGACATTGGCCCTGAGGTTGGGGTGGAGGGAGGCATGTGGGGACCCTCCCAGCCTGCACCCCTCAGAGGTCCCGGGTCCTGGCTGGCCACGTGGGCTGTGGCTGGACCTGGCGGCTCTGTGTCGCAGTTCTTCGAGGGCAAGGAGCTCCGCCTGAAGCAGGAGTACTTTGTGGTGGCTGCCACCCTGCAGGACATCATCCGCCGCTTCAAGTCATCCAAGTTTGGCTGCAGGGACCCAGTGAGAACCTCCTTCGAGACCTTTCCAGACAAGGTACAGCGACTGACTGGGCAGAGGCCCTGGCCGGAAGGCAGGATGTTCCCAGGCTCTGAGGTTGCTCCCTCATATCCCGGGAGGCGCTGGAACTGGACCTGTGAGGGTCTCTTCATCCTGGGCTGAAACCCCGCCCAGGCCCTTTTTCCTAGGACAAGGGCAGTGGCACTGTCAGGAGTCCAGCCGAAGAGACACTGTGAAAGGCCCCCATGCAAACAAAATGCATTTTCAGGCTAAGAACAGTTGTTTAAACAGCACTGCCCCACGTCAGCTGGGAGGGAAATTCTGGGTGGGAAGCGAGCCCCCAGCACCTGGGGAGGGTGGGGGACACAGCACGGGTCCCACAGCTCCTGGCACACCTGCTGCCCGGCACACCTGCCGTAGAATACACCTCCTTCAGAGCCAGCTCCCTCCCTGAGGTCCTTCTGGGCTGACCCAGGTCCTCAGGAGTGGGGTGGGGGAGCCAGGTGCTCACACCCAGGACTGCACACACCGGCCTCCATGGGCACCACGTGAGAGGAGGTGACTCAGGGCTTCCATGTGAACTGCAGGTGGCCATCCAGCTGAACGACACGCACCCAGCCCTTTCCATCCCCGAGCTCATGCGGATCCTGGTGGACGTGGAGAAGGTGGACTGGGACAAGGTGAGTCCTGAGCCCGTGGGAGGAAGCCTCTCCCCAGACCACAAGGCCTCTGCAAACCCTGGTTCAGAATAGCGGGGTCATCCTCGGTAGCTGGCCCTCCCTCTGGGCTCTGGAAGAACTGTGTCATTGCCCCAGAGAGGAGTGTGGAGGGACCAGTCGGGCTCCAGGAGATAGACATTCTGTGGATGGGAAAGCAGGGTAAGGCTCCAGGGGACAGAGAGACAAGGATGGGCTTTGACACTTCTTGTGCTTCTTGTATGTGTTCTCCTTCTTGAAGTTTGACAAAACAAAGAAATATCAAAGTGCTCATTTTAATTTTTTTTAAAGAATTACTTCATTTAACTTTATTTATTTCAGTTTGGCCAGAGAGGGGCAGAATGAGAGAGAGAAAGAAAGAGAAAGCGAGAAAGCAAGCTGCCAGGTCCGGGACTTAAGCCATGGTCAACCATGTGGGAGTCCAGCACCCTTAACTACCACACCACCTGCCAG